AAATCTTTTCTTTATTGAAATATGGGAAGAAGCCAGAAAGCTGTGGAAAAAATTTTCAAATAAATTATTGCACACTATTATATCAGAAAGTTATAATGACACCCGGGTCTAAACCACGGGTTCGTGCTCAGACCAGGCCCGAGCACTTAATTGGATCGTAAATTAAGCAAATTAACAACACTATGCGCATCGAGGTTGACATCATATTGTAAGATTCGCGTCAATCGGAGTGTATATAAAATTCTCGGAATTAGAAAGTAGTTCTTCAATAGAAAGCATGGTGAGCTGGGAGGCGGGATAATCTACCGTGCATGAGGGATATCTCTTATGAAGTAATGACAAGAAACTTGATAAAGGACTCGTCTTTACCTTTTGGAGATGCAAGATGTGTCAGAGTTCAATGGTGTATGATTGAACATAAGATCGTTTAAGGTCAATGATCCCAAGGAGACAATATTCACTGTTGTCTGGATTAATTCCCAGTCCTAAACTGATCTCGCTGGATTTTATTATCTTGATTGCCTTCATCACTTTATCAGGTGGCCCGCCTAGTATACCATCGGGTAATTCCATAGATAACGGCCGACCTTTTTAATTTCGATAAAAATCTGCATACTGAGAAAATAAGATTCTTAAAAATTGAGATAAGAAAAAATAATGATGTTAAAATTAAAATTATATATCATTTTGTAACTATTAGAGGCCTTTTATTAAATATAAAGAATTTTTTTTAATATTGTTGTGGTTTTTATTTACGTTATAAACTTTAAACTCAGGTGTTTCGCTTTCCAAATTTTTTTGAATTTAATATTTTCTTATTCACTAACACTATATCTATTCAGTAAAAAATTTTAACTTGGGACAGCCATGGATTTTTTAGTTTTTGCGATTTAAAAAATCTAAAAAATAAATATTTTTTTAAAAAATAGATGTCGCTCGTTTTGTGAAAATTATTTTTTTTTTAAAAACTTTTTTCCATTTTTAAACATAAATATTAAGATTTTCCAGCATTAATATCATGAAAAAAATATTATTTAGATCGTTTGATAGGCTTACTTATTATTAGTACATATTGATAACTTGTAAAAATTAGTTGTTTTTATAATAAATGATTAAATCTTAGTTACGATTTCGATATCTCCTACAAGAAATATTTATAATGTATAAATATAAATGCGCAAATCCTTTTAAATCTAAACACTTTAATTATAAAAAAACTTGCGTAAAGTTATGACGGGGGTGACACTTTCCAAACATTGAGGCGGGACACAATATTTATGATAAATGTCGTAAACGTTTATCACAAAAAATATTGAAAATATAAATTCTGATAAGCGAATATGTAAATAACATCAATTGATACAATCAATATAACTTTAAACAAATTGGAATATCTCCTATTAAGAAAAAAAACTAACCGAAAAAATTTATCAAAAAAAGGTAGCGAAAATATCATAAGCTATTTCAGATATAATAATTAACAATCCAGAATCGGATACAAAAGACAATAATGATATACTCAATATAAATCACAATATCCTAATTTATCAAAAAATAAACAAATATCAATTGCTGACCATTCTACCTCCTAATTGGAGCGCAAATAAAATAAAAAAGGAATTCAACGCTACATATCATATGGCTTATAATTCCAAAATCATTTTAGAAGAAAAGGGGATTCTTTCAACTCCAAATCGAAAGCCTGCAAAATATCTCAATCAAAAAACAGTTGATATTGTTAAAAAAATTTTGCAGTGATGAAGTTAGTAAAAAATTGCATATCTATCATTGAAAAGGGGGAATGAGTGAACGCTCAAAAAGGTTAGTTCTTAATAATTTAAAAGATGTATATAATCTTTTTAAGGTGATTAATTCAAACATAACTATTGTATTTTCGAAATTTGCTAGCTTAAGACCAAAAAATTGTATATTAGCAGTGGCTAGCTGAACACATAGTGTGTGCATTTGTAGCATACACCAGAATGAAACTTATGATTTTAGGCTGTGAATTAGCAACATTGACTAAAAATGGTGAGGATATATTAACAACTTATAGAGATGTTATAGGCAGAATGACTTGCAATCCCCCGTTACCCACTTGTTATATTGGTGACTGCAACGAGTGTCCTGGCTCGGCACTCTTAAAAGAACGCATCGAAAAATTATTTATAAAAAATGATATAGCTCTTGTTAAGTTTAAACAGTGGGTTTCGGTAGATAGAACAACTCTGGAGACTATTTCTCAATCCTCAGACGAATTTATTAATTACTTTTTCGATAAAATGAATATTCTCATAAGCCATTCATTTATTTGTGAACAACAAAGTTCTTTTCACAATATCCTTAAAAATAGTTTAGAAAATAATGTATCTAATTATTTGTGACTTTTCAGAAATTATTCCTTTATTATCCAAGACGAAGTTCAGGGTTATCATTGGACAACTTCGCAAGTTATGTTGCATCCATTCTCGATTTATTATATAATAGGAGATCAAATAAACAGTCTAAGTTTTGTAGTAATATTGGAATCCTTAATTCATAATACTGTTTTATTCCATTTATTCCAATCACATTTGATTCATTTAAAAAAAAAAAATTCGACACTCCACCAGAAAAAATTCACTACTTTTCTGATGGTTCAGCAGGAATATAAAAAGAGGAAAACTTCATCAATGTTTGCTACCATGAAATCGATTTTGATGTTCAAGCAGAATGTCATTTTTTTCCTACGGCACATTGTAGAAGTGCCTGCGACGGCATAGGCGGCACAGTAAAAAGATTTTATACTGATCAAATAATTACACCTTTACAATTTTATAAATATATGGAAGAGCATATAAAAGGTATAAATTTTTCTTATACCACCATACCAGAGTATGAGGAAGAAGAGATAAGGCTAAGTGAGAGGTTTAGTAAATCTATCTCAATACCTGGGACACAAAAAATTCACGTAGTGTTTCCGATTGGTTTAACTAATCTCAACACTAAACTATATTCTAGCAGACATTTATTATGGAAAATATAGTATATCCACGTGAGGATCTTTTGATTGAGGATCTTTTAATCGATGAGATTAGAGGATATATAAACTGTGTGTATGAAAACGATTGGTGGTTAGGATTTGTACAAGAAGTGAATTTAATAAGAGAAGAAATAAAAATTAATTTCTTAACCCTAAAAGACCAGCAAATTCATTTGTTTATCCAGCGGCACAAGATCTCCTTTTCAAACCAAAAAATAATATCTTAACAATAGTTAGAGAATCAACGGCTACTGGGCGTACATATTATTTACCTCAAAATTATCAGGAGTCAAAAAAACTAAATTTAATGAAAAACCGAAAATAGGTATGATCTTTCATGAATTTTAATTTATCTATTATATTTACCAAATTAATAAAATATAAAAGAAAAAAATGATTATAACCGCAGCTAAATAATCTCATTTCATGAATCTAAAAAATCTTATTATTTATGTTAAAATGACATATAACTTATATTTATATAATCATTATTTTTTAACTTATCTCAATCTTAAAAAATCGTATTTTCCGAAAAAAGATCATTTTTGGCACTTTTAACAATTGATATCTCAGGACCTATTAAAATTTTGAATTCATTGCTTTCTAATGATATTCTCTCACTATGCAAAATTTTAAAATTAATAAGGTCGGGCCGAAAAGTTATCGCTTTGGTATAGAATTACCCATTCCTTTATTCTTGACGATATACTATCAAATCCCCCCTTAGATTCGATGCGACTCCCTCAAGCTGGCGACAGACTAGGGGGTCTCAAATGATTGAAGACCCTTCCGGTCAAAGCCTTGGTAATCTCTTATCAGATGAACAATAGAGAGTAACCATAAGTTTACGACTAGGATATGATATTGTTCAACCTGATAATTGTTTTGATTGCAATTCTTTGTTATCTCTAAGGGGAGGCATGGACTTTACTGTTTATAAATACCGTATCGCTTGAACAAACACGTTTACTATAAATTCAGGGTAAGAATATTGTATTTTTTAATATAGATATTTAAATTATGAGTTTTTCAATCAGCTATATCAACCATAATCTTATAATTTTGTTCAGCAATTTGAAAAGCGGTTACTGGAACCTTTAAAAAATAATTTTAAAAAATATCTTCTGATTAATAAACAATACCTTAGCCAGTAATGTGATTGCCCCTTATGTGTTACTGACGGAGAGCAAAGTATATATTTAGAATTTTCATATATGCATACATTATTTTGAAGATATTTGTAAATCTAATTATTTATAAAATATTTCTGTTTTAAAATAAAATATTAACAAAATATATATTTAATATCGTAAAAAAAGTAAAACCATGAGAATCAATTTGAAGAGATGGTCACATTTGAAGGTCTAACGGTAAAAAATTTTTTTAATTATATTATTTGATTACATTAATTATATCAAGTTATTTTATATTTTATCTTAAATATAATTAAATTAAAAATTATTTGATGAAAATAATTTATAAAACAAAACTATGATAACTTTTTTAGCACAAAGAGTAAAGATTTCGCCATTTTTATTAATTCTAACATTAAACAATTATTTATTAAATACAACGCTACCATTCCTTCTAAAGAACCAGCTAAAAACTTATTCAGCATCGATAAAAATGTTTTTACTGATAGGAGGGGATTGATAAAAACTTTGAAAATGTTTTATTGTTAAAATCAAATAATATTTAGCCTTGATGTTAATTTGTACCTATTGCTTTTATTATTAAATGTATTTGTTAATTATAAATAAATAAAATTTTAAAATGCATAATATCGAATATGGGGAAAATATATTTGCATAGACATCGTTGGATATGTTTAGAAATATTTTAAGTATCGTTAACAAGTTTTATCATATAAACATTTAATTAGATCACTTAAATCTTTTTAACTTCTTAAACTTTCTTCTATATTTTTGTTTTTCTCGTCTTTCCTTCTCTTATATCATTAAAAAAAATAGATAATAACTTGATTCGGAGCAAGTTTGATTAATCGAAAATCCCACTTTGCACATCCACCAGATGAGAATTAGTAGATAATTGGTACTTTATAATTGATTTAGAAAATATTAAATTATTTATACTATTTAAATAAAAAAATGATATTTTCGGCCCGATCCCCTTCGATTTTTGTAAAATTTGGTAAGCAAAGAAAAGTTATTGTAATTAAGAAATAACCAAAACTTTAGTCTGGTAACATTTATATTTTTGGAGATATTAGGGTTCAAAATGACAAAAATGACCTATTTTTATCATTATCTGCCTTCATTCAATTAAACATATCTTAAAAACTATTTAATTGTAAATAACAAATTTAATATCAAAATTACGTACAAAGATTATACTCTTAGATAAAAAACTTCATTGATTTTTCCAATTTTCGGCCATTTTATTTAATATATAAGAACTAAAAACAATTTTTTGGAATAATACGATCTTCAATTTTTATAAAAAAAATTATACCTTCTTTTAAAATTATAAAAAAAAACCGATCTGAGACGAGGCGAGCTTCATTCAAAATCGATAAAAATGATTAGAAAAGTGTATAAATATTTTCCCGAAATGGGGCATCTTTGTATAAAATTATTTATTAATCAGTTTTTATTGGTTTTTCTAAAACTATTTGATATAATTTAAAGGATTATTCATCTTGTAAGTGAAAATAATAAATGGGGATTTCAATCAATTATAGAAATTGTCTATCGTAAAGGAAATTCAATTTATTACATTATTTATAATTATTCAAACTTAACAATTAGATTTTCGAAATTTTCTAGCTTAAGATCAAAAAATTGTATATTAGCAGGGGCTAGCGGAACACATAGTGTATGCGTTTGTAGCATATACCAATATATTAAACTTATGATTTTAGGCTGTGAATTAGCAACATTGACTAAAAATGGTGAGGATATATTAACAACTTATAGAGATGTTATAGGCAGAATGACTTGCAATCCCCCGTTACCCACTTGTTATATTGGTGACTGCAACGAGTGTCCTGGCTCGGCACTCTTAAAAGAACGCATCGAAAAATTATTTATAAAAAATAGCTCTTGTTAAGTTTAAACAGTGGGTTTCGGTAGATAGAACAACTCTGGAGACTATTTCTCAATCCTCAGACGAATTTATTAATTACTTTTTCGATAAAATGAATATTCTCATAAGCCATTCATTTATTTGTGAACAACAAAGTTCTTTTCACAATATCCTTAAAAATAGTTTAGAAAATAATGTATCTAATTATTTGTGACTTTTCAGAAATTATTCCTTTATTATCCAAGACGAAGTTCAGGGTTATCATTGGACAACTTCGCAAGTTATGTTGCATCCATTCTCGATTTATTATATAATAGGAGATCAAATAAACAGTCTAAGTTTTGTAGTAATATTGGAATCCTTAATTCATAATACTGTTTTATTCCATTTATTCCAATCACATTTGATTCATTTAAAAAAAAAAAATTCGACACTCCACCAGAAAAAAATCACTACTTTTCTGATGGTTCAGCAGCGCAATATAAAAATAATAGTGTTCAAGCAGAATAGCATTTTTTTCCTACGGCACATGGTAAAAGTACCTGCGACGGCATAGGCGGCACAGTAAAACGGTTAGTTGCCAAGGCAAGCTTACAAAGACCTTATACTGATCATAAATTACACCTTTACATTTTATAAATAAACGGAAGAGCATATAAAAGGTATAAATATTTCTTATGCCACTATACCAGAGTATGAGGAAGAAGAGATAAGGCTAAGTGAGAGATTTAGTAAATCTATCACAATACCAGGGAAACAAAAAATTCATGTAGTGTTTCCGATTGGCTTAACTAAACTCAACACTAAACTATATTATAATTCGCATACATTTATTGTGGAGAATATAGTATATCCAGGTGAGGATCCTGTGATTGAGGATCTGTTAATTGATGAAATTATAGGATATGAAACATGTGCATATGAAAACGATTGGTGATTAGGATTTGTACAAGAAGTGAATGTAATTAGAGATGAAGTAAAAATTAATTTTCTTCACCCTAAAGGATCAGCAAATTCTTTTGTCTATCCAGCTGCACAAGATATCCTTTTCATACCAAAAAATAATATTTTAACAATAGTTAGCCCATCAACGGCTAATGGGCGTACATATAATAAAACGAAATTATCATGGCGTCAAAAAAACTAAATTTAATGAAAAACCAAAAATAGGTAATATCTTTCATGAATTTTAATTTATCTATTATATCTTCAAATTATATAAAACAATTAAAAATTTTTATAAAAAAAAATGATTATAACCGCAGCTAAATAATCTCATTTCATGATATTGCTGGAAAATCTTATTATTTATGTTTAAAAATGAAAAAAAGTTTAAAAAAATAATAATTATAACAAAACACGTTATTTTATAAAAGAGCGCCATCTATTTTTGAAAAAAATATTTATTGTTTGATTTTTTACTTCATAATAACTAAAAAACCCATGGCTGTCCCAAGTTTAAATTTTTTTTATGAATAGATATAAAGGTAGAGAACAGGGTTGCCATGTCTCCCCCCATCAGCGGGAGACTTCCGCAATTTTTTAATTTACACGCAGACATTTCTCTCCCGCAAAACTACCACAATTGGAAATCTCCAGCAAAAATCTACCGCAATTTTTTAAGTTCTCCTGCAATTTTTTTTTTAGTATTTTAACATTTTTAATATGTAAATAATAATTTTGAGAGACATTAATTGATTATTTTTATATTTTTAAAATAATTTTAAGTATTTATTCGAAAAACATGCCTAGTTTGTAAATTTCTTTCTATCCTGTTTTATTTTTATCCAATAATAAATCAACATCATTTCATTCATATAAGTCAGTACAGGGGAGTATATTAACATCGATTGCAATACAAAAATATTCTCAAAAATAATAAATAATACAGATGCAACTACATTTGAGGAAATCGTATACATCTATCATGTAGTTCAACATTCACAGAGCTATATCATCACAATGTGGGTCGAATATTTTTCTCATAATATTTAACGACTCCAATATAAGTGCAAACCTTACTTGTGGCAGAACAAAAATGAGCAAGGCTATCAAAAGTGTTTTAGTACCTGAATCCTAGAGGTCAATTCTAGACTATTTGAAAGATGGGCATCCATATGCAATTCTAACAGATGCATCTAATAAGAGAAATATTAAAACATTTCCCTCGATCCTTCGCTATTTCAACAAGATTAAGAACATTTCAATAAAACTGTTAAGATTTTTTCCTCAGATAGTGAAAAATCCAACGATGTAGCTAACCACATAATGTTAAATATAGCTGATTCAGGGTTATCAATGATTTGCATGTCAGCTTTCTGCGCTGATAATGCCTCTGTAAATTTTGGCAAAAACCTAAGTTACCGATTTGAGGCAGCACAATAATGAATTAATACCAATTGGCTGTATATGCCATATATTACATTATTCTTGCAAGAAGGCAATGAATATACTATCTGAGGATGTCGAATTAATTGTGATGAAATGTTTTAACGAATTTAAATCAACTAAAAGAGTTAAAAAATTAAAAGAGTTGATGGTGGTCTGAATTGGAATGGTGTGAGTTGTTGTGATATATACCTATCAGGTGGTTGTCATAATACCTGTCATCGATAGAATTTTAAAATTTTACAAACCTTAAAAAAAATACTTCTTAAATAGAGATTTTAAAAGCTGTCCTAAAATTTTGAAAAATTTTTTCGAGTATGAAATGGCAGAAGTATATTTGGGATTTGTTTCACATGTAGGAAATCTACATAATGCAATTAATATTCCTTTGGAATCAGAATATTCTTTATTAAAAAAAGATTCACAAAATCATGCTACAGCTCTGTTCATCTCTACAGTTAAAAATTGATAATAAATTTTATGGCGCTATTGCTAAAAATATATTAAAATAATAAAACTCTAATTAATACATTTTTAAATGAAGCAGATATTTTTATTGACAATTAGAATTTACAATCAAAATTTGATTTTAATAACTCTATTAACAAATGTATAAATATTATGACATTTGAACAACCATCAATTGATGGTTTTTATAATTTAATAAATATATTAAAAATACCGAAAGACATTGATTTCTTGTTTGCGGAGATAAATACTCAAAGTTAGATGGTCTAAAAGCAGATGAGAAATGAGTAGAATTTTTTCGTAATAACGATAAATCTCCATGCTTGGAAAAAATATGCGAGTATGTCTTTTCCTTACCTCATTCTAAAGCCTTATCTGAGCGCATTTTTAGCCCGATGAGGACTGCCTGGAAAAAGGAGAGAAATCGGATTGCTTTAACAACATTAGAGGCCGAGCAAATATATAATATGTCATGCCAGGAATTTTATAAATATCTCAATAACGACGGTAAACATTTAGTTCTATTATTTAAATCTCAAATAAAATATAATTAAGTTTTAGAATGGCGCCATAAAATTATTATCAATTTTTAACTGTAAAGATGAACACATCTGCAGCATAATTTTGTGAATCTTTGTTAAGATTCTTCTGATTGAAACTACTCATTAACAGCATGTAGTAGATATCCTACTGTGAAATCATTCCTAAAAATACCTCTGCCATTCATTATTGAAAAATAATCTTTATTTAAGAAATATTTTTTTAAAGATTTATAAAATTTTAAAATTCTATATGGCGGGTATTAGGAACATATCGCAACCAACATTGTGCAGACTCAATTCTGTAAATACTCTCTGTTTTTACCAAATTCACTGAGGCATTATCAGATCAGAAAGATGACATGCAATTTATTGATAATCTCTAATTTGCTCTATTTACCATTATATGGTTAGGTTAGCTATGTCTTTGGATTTTTCACTATTTGAGGGGAAAAAATTTAATAGTTTTATTGAAACGACCTTAATTTTGTTAAACTAGCGGAGGAAAAATATTTCCCTTACTAGATGCATCTGTTAGAATTGCATATGTATGCCCATTTTTCAAATCGTCAAGAATTGACCTCCTGGATTTAGGTCCTAAAGCATTGGTGATAGCCTTGCTCATTTTTGTTCTACAATTATAGTTTTCATTTATATTAGAGTCGTTAAATAATATGAGGAAATTTACCAACATTGTGATGATAAGTATCTCTGTTACTACAAGATAAGTGATTACCATTGCCGCAATTGTAGTTGCATCTGTATTATTTGTTATTTTTGGAGTACCTTATTATGTATTTAAACTAGATACGTGATAATTAAGCGCCTATCCCTATAATGTTATACACACACGATAGATTTCCAATTGCGGTCGTTTTGCGGGACATTCGCATAAAATATATTTTTAATTGTAAAATTAAAATCGTTTTTTTTATAAAATTTTTTCTTGTTTACCTTTTATATTTAAAAAAAATCGTTGGTTTTTTTTATAAATTAATATTTTAATAAATCAAGATGTTATTTTATTTTGACCGACCTTGTATTATAAACTAATTTTAAAAGATAATAGACGAATAATAAAATCAATTCAAAATCCCGGCCGAAGGCCGGCACTTTTGCAATTTTTATATTTCTACCGCAATTTTCATATTTCTCCCGCATAATATCAAATTTCTCCCGCAATTTGAAAATTTTGACCTGGCAACTCTGTTAGAATAAGAAAATATTAAATTCAAAAAAATTTGGAAAGCGAAACACCTAGAATTTTTATGTTTAAAATTTATAACGTAAATAAAAACCGCAACAATATTATATTAAAAAAATCCTTAATATTTAATAAAAGGCCTTTAATAGAGTTACAAAATGACATATAACTTATATTTTTAAAATCATTATTTTTTAATTTATCTCTTTTAAAATCGTATTTTTCGAAAAAAGGTCATTTTTGGCACTTTTGACCATTGATATCTCAGGAACTATGACTAGCTAAAATTTTAGATTTGATGCTTTCTAATGATATTTTCTCAGTATGAAAAATTTATCGAAATTAAAAAGGTCGGGCCGAAAAGTTATCGATTTGGTATGGAATTACTCCGATATCAATTTAATATTGGAAATATCAGATCGGATCGTCCTCCAAAAAGTGGTATCGGTACACCCCTACATAAAATAATAGATTTAAATACAATTTGATAAATATAATTTTTCTATAAAACTTGTTAAAGTCATAGGATGATTTTAATGAAGAAAATTGGAACAATATCAATGAGGGGTAATCTTCAATCCATTTCGTTAAACATGAAGCTATTAATTCTAAGGTATGATGTCTTTTCTCCAGATAATATGAATGATCTTTTAATATAGGGAGTGCATAATAAATAATATACTTATTTAAAAAATTATTAAATCTATATTATATTATCGTTGCAATGTAAGTAAGAAGGTAAATTGTGCTAAATGCCTGCAAGACAGGTCCAAAGTTCTTAAATTGTATCTCATTAGGTAGATTTCTATATTCATTTCTTTAAAAATATTAAATTTTTATAGCAGATTTTAATGACCTCTAATTTAATCAAAATAATTAAATAGCTGCCCCCTCCAAGTTATATATAATAGCTTTTTAAAGAATATCTAGTAAAATTATTAAAAGCTATTTCAAAAAAGTAGTGTTAATTTCTGAATAAATAGTAATATTTTGTAATAATTAGGAAAAAAAAAATTAAATTTTTTTATTAGCAACTCAATAAATATTAGAGACCTGCTGGCCAAAACATTTTAAAATAAACATGCAGGGTCTAAAAATATTTTAATTTTTAATGAATATATCTAATTTTAGTATACATCAGCTATGATTAAACCCAGACCTGTGTCCCGCTGGGTAAAACCAGTGATCGTGTAAAATTTTTAAAATGCTATTTAATTTTATATTAAATTTTGAATAGGGTCATTCTGTAGCAATCCTATCACGACCAGGCCAAGGTTAATATAATCTATATCTGGGCAAAATTTTAGCCTCTAGCTTTAAGATTTTTGGAGATATCTAAGGCCAAGGGATAAGAAATCAACTTTTTTGGGAATGTTTGTAATAATTAAATTAATGATTGATTTTAAATAATGCAATTATATATAATAAATCTAGTATCAAAATAAAGCCTATATTTATTTTTAGAAAATGAAAGTAAAAAATTAATTTTTTAAAATCCACACAAAGAAAATTGGACATCACAGATTTTTATAAAATTTTACATAAACATTACCTACCATTCTATGAGTATATAGCCAACTCCTGAGCCATTTTCTGGCTGATTCATTAAGCCAGATTAAGTCTGAGTCAATATTTATATTTTTGTTCTAAAATAGGCTAGAAAAAATCTTCAATAACATTTAAATGAAAGAATAAACAATACTATACAGCAAAGAAATACAAAGATTGGATCCAAACGGTCAAAAGTTTTATTTTCTAACTTAAGAGTATTCACGATAATGTGGACCGCAAGGCAAATGATTCATTCCATCCTAATATATTAAAAATATTGGAGAAAATGAAGTATACAAGCACTCCCAGGCATTGTTCTTAAAGAAGAAGTCTCTATTTTGACCCCAATATGACATACTATCAAGATGATAAATTTGTTTATATTATAACTCTTGACATATTCGATCTTTTTTAAAAAAAATTGTATATAATAAATAAAATATTTCATCCTATCTTACCCTGAATTCATGATGGATCAATCAGCTGGATCGATCGCAGCGATTTTCATTCATAGTGCAAATCTATTTTATTAATTCAAAATGGTATCCATCATCAAATTATTATTTTTATACAAAATGATCTTGAAGATAATATTAAACCCTCTTAAGGTGAAATTTTATAATTATATGAGAATGACCAAAGTATTTATTAATTCTATTTTATCTTTAATTCTATATTATATAGGAAACTTATATACATTCTAAAACATGTAAAATCATTTTATATACAACAGCCACAAATTTTATTAAATATCCTATAACCATTAAAGAAAACCTCGTTTCTCTTAAGTAATAATAAAGTACTTTATTATTTAAATAAATTTTTTATCTAAGTATTTAACCACTGACTGTAGGTATCCTACTTTACCCTATTCCTTCAAAATGTGGGTTTCAAATCTAAAAATTATTGAAAAACATGCCTATCTATATGGCAAACCTTAGTAAGTATTCATATGCCACCAATTACTCTCATTGACTTTGTGAGATTAGTAAAGGTGTAATATATTGTATATTATATTTATGTATATTATTATTAAAAAGGAGTTTGAAATAAAGTGGAATTTACCTAACTGTGTTGGTAGTATTGATGGAAAATACTTATTGCAAAATTTAATAGAAATTTATCATGCTTATATTTATTCAAAAATCCTATATTATAGAAAAATATTATGTTTATAAATATATTTTTTATAAATTAAATATATTTAAATATCTTATTTTGTATTTTATATATTTTTTAATAAAAATAAATTTACTATTAATATAATCTAAACTCATTATAAAATATATATATGTTGAAATATGCCACTAAAAAAGCTATATAGTATATAATTTTATTTTTAAAAAAGCAAATAAGGTAGCAATATTTATGAAAATAGATTTTATTTCAAATATAAATATATATATAAAATATCTCTTTCAAAATATATACAAAATTTAATTAAAGACATTTACTATATTCAGTTTTTTTATTTTTAAAAATCTAGTATTCTTTCCTCTTCTAATTTTATAAGTAGGGATGTACCGATATTTTATATAGGATCGGATCGGGCCGATATTTCGCTCATTTTAAAATATCGGTTATCGGCAAATATTATAAAATTTTCCGATCCGATATAAAATGGCGCTTTTAACAAAATTTTAAAAAAATCTAAAAAACCATTTATTTTTATAAATAAAATCGAAATACATTTTTATGTTTAATTTTTTTAATAGAAATAATTAGTTAATAAACATTCTGCAACATAGTTATTTTTTTTCGCATTCTGTTTAAATAAGTGTTCATTAATCTCTTCAGTATCTGTTTTTAGTGATGCTAGTGATATTAACAGTCCCATCACTGCCGACATATCTCTGATATAAAAAGAAATCTTCGATATATTAATTTTAAATATTAATTTCAAATTTCATAATATATTTTTTTATTACTAATTATGTAAATAGATTAATGTTATTACTTTTTATATAAATAATAGCAATTGAATTGAATATAAACTATAACTGACCATTATAATATATTTAAATGACATATGTTATGGTATAGTAAAATTATAGATGTTGTACTAATAAAAAGTATATTAAAAATTAAACCCGGTATCTTTGCAGAATACAAAATTAGATATGATATCGGATCGGTTATCGGCCGATATCAATTTAATATCTGAAATATCGGATCGGATCGGCCTCCAAAAAGTGGTATCGGTACACCCCTATTTATAAGTGTTTTAAATTCATCTATTTTAAATATTTTTATAAAGCAAATAAACATAAATTACTAATGTCATTAAACTTTCTCTTAGGAGATTTATAATATGAACCACGAGATTCATCAGAAGATATAGATCCTTCAATATAAATAATATATTTTTAGACATTATTAATTACCAAACACAGTACTAAGCTTAATTAATGCAGGACTTTTATGAATTATATCATTCAATGTATTTCACTATCAATGAGATCATCTAAATAATAATAACAATGAGATCAGCTTAAATAAATACATTATCAATTCGAATGCTATATTTTACATTCATTTATCTCCCTTTTCCCTGTTATTTCATTGACACCTCTGTTAAATCTAGTGATATAAATTCTCCTTCCTTGTATAATGAGGGCTTTTGTAATTTAAATGATAATTTTATCTTGATTCGTAGGTTTGATATCTTTAAAGAAAGTCAAAAATTGAGTAATTTTATATTTTATTTTAAAAATGTAAAATATTTTGTGCTACATTCACCAAAGGCGATATTTAATGAAACAATATTCAAAATCGCGACAACAAATACAACATGATTTGTGTATTTAAAAAATCGAGGCAACTAGCATTTGCGAGTCAAATCGCGTGATAGGTAACTATGAATACAATATGATATTTACTGTATTTTGTATTTATCGCGTCTAAATCGCAATCGTGCCACTACGAATTCAGGGTTAATAAGCATTTAATTTTGCATCGCATTGCAAAATTAAAAACCATCATTATTTTTGATTTTGGATAGTTTATTTACAATATAAAAATATTACTAAATCCAATGGGTAATTACTATATTATGCATTTATTTATGAACATTTATTGTTTTAAATATAGTTATTTTAAGGTATTAATAAACATAATGTTGTCCAATTTTAACACATTCCTTTTTTGCAAATGAATTTTGAGCATGAACATATTCATGTTTGCTAATGATTGAATATTGTAAACAAATTCATTTTGGAAAATTTTTATAGCACTTGCTTAAAATGTGCGAAAAAAATCCTAACTGGGAACCAAACTAAGAATCCAAGCTGGGTAAGGCTTAAAAATATTATTATTTTTAATATCTAGGCTAGCCTAGAATTTTAACCTCTACAGGTCTCTAATAAATATCTATCTAATACTACTATGTTTAAATATTATTACATACATTTCCACATGCAAAGAAGTATAACATCAGCAATAAGGTGAGCACAAAAAGATGCACATAGATCTGGTAACTGTTTAATAAGGTAGTTTTCACTATAAATGTTGAACACAAAAAACTCCTCAATCAGTTTTTGCGATAAAATGCTGAATAGCTTACGATCTGTTATATTTTTCTAAATATAAATATGGTATAAAAAAATAAGTCTTCAAAATTATTTTAAAAAAATTAGTGATAAAATGTTATGGATATTATAAATATTTTTAATAATGTTGGTATATCAAACTTGTAGCCAATGAGATGTAAAATAAAGAAGCTGATTGGAATGGAAAGTTATAGCCATACATAAAATCTGTGACAAGACTCTCATATGATAAGGTTCTCTGCCAATTTTTCCAAAAATGAGATCAAAAGCCATTTGTTTTAATTTCAATTTTTCAGATTTATATTTTATCAAATGATTGTAATAGATGTATGATTGTTCATACATAGAGAATAGAGGTTCAATTTTCTTACTGGTTTTGTTTATTGGCCTAATATTTTGATTCTTCCCAGGTTCATGGTTAAAATATTTAGATAACTTTATTTTTGGAGAATTAGCAAAGTAGGTATATAGTAATTCAATCAATTTAAGCTCCTTGGTAGAATTTAATACCTATTTTTTAATAGATTTAAAAATTTTAGGCTAACAAAGAGTAAATATTTTTAAAATGTTAATATGTTTATATACCGTTAATTTATTTCCTCGGACACCATGTTTCTGAGAAAATAATATGTCTTTTAAAAACAAAATATCAGGTTCATTCTCATTTAATCGCCTTTTTTTTAATAAACGACTGGAACCTTTTTCTTCTTTTAAAATTTTTATGACATATACAAGATATAAATCTATCTCTTTTAAAGATTCTTCGACGTTTGCGGGGAATTCTAATTTCTCAAGCCGATAAAATTTTTCTTCAAAATTCATAAAATTTAGAATATGTTGAATATTTCTAAAATCATATGTGTGACGTTATTTAGACAATGACAGCTCTCAGTTTACAATTTGGATTACCACTATAAATCTTATCTTTTACTTAGAAAATTATTTCCTATGACTTATAATTCTGCAAATATTATTAAAGAAAATAATAGATATAAAATTTATTAAAATTCTCTTGGTACTAAATTTTTCCACCATACGTGGCAGATAAGGGTTTTTCCTGGTCTTCTATACTAGTGAACTAAAAATAATTTTAAACATAAAGTCAAATTGTTATATTCAGCGCCCGGTTTACTGGTTCCACAACCTGTGGAAGGGAAGGAATACTGAACAATTATTCTGAATATATTTTGTCATTTATTATATTATGCATACAAAATAAACTAGCATATAAATAATTAAAACAATACAAGACATTTCTAAAAAAAATAATTTTTAATACAAAATTTATTTATTACAGTATAAAATATTTTCGGATATAAAAAAAATTTTGCTTCTAGAGAATTACAGTTGATAAAAAGGTTAAATTTCATACATATGCCTCAATTTAATGGTTTTTAAAAACATAATATAATATAATTCTTAGCAACTTATTTAACAACAAAAGGTCATGAAACTAATATAACTCTCTGTTACCAATTTAGAAAATGTTTTATATAATGGACTAATAAGGAAAAATTTATAGGCCTAACCAAATCAACAATTCTTGAAGAAGAGATTATAAACGTCCAATTCAAATCATAAAACTATATGGTGGTTAGAGCTTCCTCTTAGATGATATGATGGAACTAGATTAGTAATGGAGAAAATTATTGGGAGATATTAAATTTTTAAAAGATTAACTTCCATTTTTAATAATATATAAACGACTACACAAGTTGACCATTATTGTTTATCTAAAATATGCAATCATATGCTCTCAGCAGTAGTGTTGTTAAATTGCCGGGTCGGGTCAGCTTGGCCGAAAATCCAGCATGGCTTGAGCCGAAAAAACGACCCTAAACCCGAGCCAACCGATTTAGCCATAGATCAGACCCGATCCGACCCAATGCGGCTTGCTGGGTTGGCTAACTGGGTTAAAAAATATATATATTGAAAATTAAACCAGTTTATTTTAATCCGGGTTCAATGTTTTTGATATTAGAAAGATGTTCAAAAATCTTTGGTTCTAGTAATAAATTGGCACTGTTATTATATCTTATTCCACGAGATAAAAATAAATTGTAAAATTTTTTTAAAACATATCTTAAGCCTAGTTAAAAGTTTTAGATACTAGAAAGATGTTCCTATGTTCCTAAACCTTTTGGTCTTGTAATAAATGGACACTGCTGTTATAATTTAATCCGTGAGGAATATATTTAAGAATTTTTTTTAAGGCGTTGTTTTAATCCTAGTTAAATGTTAATGATATTAGGAGGATGTTCTAAAACCTTTGAGTCTAGCAATTAATTGGCACTGCCATTATATTTTGCTCCACAAACAAAAAATAAATTGTGATAATTTTAAAAAAATTTATCTTAAGCCTAGTAAAGGTTTTTGATACTAAAGATGTTCTTAAACCTTTGGGTCTTGTAATAAATAGGCATTGCTATTATATTTTGCTCCACAAGGAAAAAATAGATTGTAAAAATTTTTTAAAATTTATCTTTAGACTAATTAAAAGTTTTTGATACTAGAACGATGTTCTTAAACCTTTGGGTCTTGTCATAAATTAACACGCTGTTATATTTTACTCCATGAGGAAAATTTACGATTTTTTTTAAGACGTTGTTTTAAACCTAGTTAATTGTTTATGATATTAGGAAGATGTTCTAAAACCTTTGGATCTAGTATTTGCATTGCCATTATATTTTACGTTATAATTTACTCCATGAAGAATTTTTTTAAGACGTTGTTTTAAGCCTCGTTAAATGTTAATGATATTAGGAGGATGTTCTAAAACCTTTGAAAATAAATTGTGAAAATTTTTAAAAAATTTATCTTAAGCCTAGTTAAAAGTTTTTGATATTAGAACGATGTTCTTATCTTGTAATAAATTTGCACTGCCATTATATTTTACCACGGGGAAAAAATAAATGCGAAAATTTTTAAAAATATATTTTAGGAGTAGTTTAAGGTTTTTGATACTATGAAGATGTTCTTAAACCTATGGGTCTTGTAATAAATTGGCACTGCTGTTATATTTTACCCACGAGGAAAAAAATTTATGAATTTTTTTAAGACATTATTATAAACCTTTAGAAATGTTTGTGATATTATAAAGATGTTCCAAAACTTAGGGTCTAGTAATTAATTGGCACTTCCATTAGATTTTACTCCATGAGGAACTAAATTATAAATTTTTCTAAAATTTTTATCTTAAACTTAGATTAAAGTATAGGATACTAAAAAATGTTCAAGAACTTTTGGATCTAGTAATAAATTGGCATTGCCATTTTATTTTACCTAAGGAGAAAAAAAATTATGAAATATTTATTAAATTTTGTTTTAAGCCAAGTTAAGTATTTTACAATAAGATGTTCAAAACTTCTGGGTCTAGTAATAAATTGGCACCAGCATTTTAAATTACTCCACGAGGGAAAATTAATTATGAATTTTTTTTTAAATTATGTTTTATAATTAAAAGTTTTTGATACTAAAAAATGTTCAAAAATCTTTGGTTCTAGTAATAAATTGGCACTGCCCTAATATTTTATCCCACGAGCAAAAATAAATTATCTGGAAAAGATAAATTATATAATTTTAAAAAAAATTATTTTAAGCCTAGTTAAATGTTTGTACTATAAAGATGTTCTAAAACATCTGAATTCACAAAGAAATTTCTAGTGCTAATATTATTTAACCCCCGCGTAAAATATAAAATTATATATTTATGTTTTGAATAAGGTTCATATAGTATTAACATACTGCTATTCTGATTCACTCCACGAGGAATGTTAAAATATAAATATTTTTATAAATTTGTTATGAAACTAGTTAAAAGTTATTTATACTATTAATTTTTTTTTTAACCTTTGATTTCATAAAGAGATTCCCATTGACATTATTTTTTATAATTCCCTACGTTAAAATTTAGAAATATTAAAAAATATATATTTATGTTTTGAACCCAATAGTAAGTTTGGGTCTAATAATAAGTTGTCGCTATCATTCTATTTAATCCACGAGATAATTAAAGATTTAAAAAATTTTACAAACTTTGTTTTGTGCCTAATTAAAAGTTTTTGATATTAGAAAAATGTTCCAAGGCCCTAGTGTCTAGAATAAATTAATATTGCATTTTTTTTAACTTGAATCTAGTTTAAATTTTTTGGCAATAGAAATGAGTAGTATATCATTTGAAACTTTTAAGGATTGGTATTGGAAAAGAAAAGACTGGGGAAGTTGATAGGTCATTAAAATTTAAGTCATTTGGATATATTAATTTAGTAAAATGATCTTAAATCGTCCATCTATATGCTAATATTTTGAAATATTTAACTATTACAAATTTTTTATATCAAATTTGGAAAATGTTTGTAAGACAAATAATTTTAGCAAAATTTGAACTATCGTAATTTGTGATTTATACAAAAATTGTTGGTGAATTTTACAAACATATATGATGTCAGGAAAAGTACGACAAAAATGGTTTTCTGATGGTACATTTAAATCGTCGCCACCTTTATTTACGCAAATTTATTCAATTCATGGGATTAAAAATAAAAACGTTTTACCTCTCATATATATATATATTGACCAATAGAAAGGATTATGAAACGTATAAAAGAATATTTACTGTTATAGGTGACAACTTAATATCAACTCCAAAAAAAATTATGACGGATTTTGAAATGGCCAGTGTAAAAGCTTTCAATGAAGTGTTTCCCAGTTCGCAACGCAAATGTTGCCATTTCCATTTTGGCCAATCCTTTTGGCGAAACATTCAAAAATATCCAGAAATATATAACAGATGTGGAATTTAATATACAACTTAGAATGATGGTTTGCTTGACATTTGTGCCACCCTTAAATGTAGCTGAAACATTTGAATTACTAATAAACTCAGAATTTTTATCTAATAATCAATTGTTACTTCAGCCTCTAATTGAAACTTTTGAAAAAGCTTACGTTGGTAAAACGTTTGGAAGAGGCAGACTACCTGCTTTGTTTAATATTGAACTATGGAATTGTTAACAATCAACTCTGAACGGGGAAGCGAAAACCAACAACGCGGTTGAAGGGTGGCATAGATGCTTTAGTTCCCTACTAACAAGTTACCATCCAAACATGTGAAAATTTAGTTATCTATATATCTATTATTTTAAAATGATTTAAAAAGTATAAAGATTTACTAATAAACTATATAATTTATATTCTAGGCTTAAAAAAACAACAAAGGTTGACAGAGTTAAAAATTGTTCAATATTATTCTGGTGAAACACCCTCTACCACGAGAAAAAAATATCGAAATCTACATGCGAGAATAGTAACAATTGTTTCTGACTTCGAAAATCGATCAAGATTAGATTATCTTAAAGGAATCTCTATTAATATAACATTGAATGTTTAATTTTTTAAAATTCTTATCTACAATAATAAAAATTTTATTTGTTTTTATATAATAGTCTCAAATTTTTTATATTTGCATTATTTTTTGTGACAAAAATATAGGAAGGTCTACTTTGGTATAAAATTTAGCTAGCTACATACAGATTCATTCATCAAGATACAGATTTTATGAGAGTATTTACAAATTCTTTTATATGTGACGTAGTCTTTCTCTACCACATCAATCCCACAATTAAATTTCAAAAATAACTACCTTTCGTCATGCATTATAAAATTATTTTAAAACTAATATTCCTAGCCCTTGAGTCATATAGTTGTTTTCCCTTACAAATATGATCATTTTTGATGAGCAACAAAATTAGAAAAATATTATTATAAAATAACACTCAAGTATTAC